CCACCAGATGTTCCTGCTGAATTCACAAGGCAGCATGGATGCAATTGCCAAGCAGTGTCTCTGAGCAGGTCTACACAAGACATCTTCAGGTAGTTTTCTGTCCCGCTTGCTGCAGTGTGGCATACAATGCTGGATCATCACAGGCAAATAAATTATAAAAGATTTTCAAAATGACGTGACAGTACTTCTATGATAATGACAAACGGGGAAAGTTAGCAGTGTTGAGCAGGTTCCAGGCCATTACCTGCAGGAAATTACATTTGCCCCACTTCAGGAGGCAATAGAAGCAAAGCAAGAGCCAGAAGTAGGCAGAGATAGTTCTTGAGCAGCAGATTCATGCTAATACCTGGTACACAACTCTTTTATATTTGAGGAGTACTTCGAATCCTACAGTAGATTTATTTTTGCCAAATAATCACAGAATCACAATGATTTTCCCCTTCAAACTGGACCAGTAGTTCAGTAGGAAAGTACCAGTTTCCAAATATGAGTAGCTCTCTCCTGTATAGCAACAGGCACCAAAACTTCCGTGTTTCTGCATGCTTTTTGTGTAAACAGTGCCGTATACCATCTATCAAAAATCATAATTTGAATGCATTCAAAAAATTAGCATGGATAAAGTGAGACATGCTTTCATTTTTGACCTCTCATGTATAGAACACGCATTTTAAAAAGAAGTCACTGTCACAGCTCGCCCTTCAGATCCCGTCTGCCAATGCATACAGTAGGTGCTTGTCTTTTCTGCAAAAAAAGGGTGCCTATGTTGCACATCGATGTTTTCCTTTGGTCCAGAGAGCATCAATAATGGTTCAGATCCCTGGCAGTGTGGGTATTTTGGAACTGGGTAACCTCCTGGCTACATCCGACGGACTCTGAGGTTAATATGTTTCTAAATATGTGTATAAAGAGATGTTTTAATGAACAGAGGTAGGTATAAACCATGCATAAAGGAAAAAGGGTACTTCAATAAGCTTTGATGATCATAACCTTTCTAAAATAGGTATTTAGTCCTAATTATACTTAAACAGGGATCTATTTTCTCTCTGTTAAGTAAAAATGGAAATCTGATACATACGTCCAGAGGATGTATTGTCATTTTGATAAAGACTTGTGTGTAAATCAGGTGAGAAATTTAGGAGAGACATTGGATTAGCTGCATTATGGAAAGCTAACACTGCTGGTAGCTTAGACATGTTCTCCATTCCTTCAAGAAGCAGTTATCTTTAAGACAAGTTAGTGAAAGTTTATGTATTAGTATCTATATTCCAATTCAATTATATGAGTCATCTCCACAGGTTAAACAGAAGATGCAAGTATTCCAGCCTGTTTCGCAATTCAGATCATTTGTATGCATTGGGTAATGTGATTTATAACCATATTTGCACTTTGAAATAAAAAAGGGACTCAGGAAAGAGATACTAACACCTCTTTAAATATAATGCTTTATTTTTCATGCCAAACCCACTTGACCTATGCAATACCAGGTTCTTTACCTGTACAAATAAATTTAAGGCTTAATCCTTAATAACACATACTGTAAACATTCAAGAGCTGCTAAAGTTATCAAATTAATATTGGTGGAAGAAAAAGAATAGCCTTCTTCAGCAGCAACAACAAAAATAAACCGCCTGCTTTAACTTAAGTATTCTCAGGGGCGGAGGCACTTTATTAAGTGAAAAAAATCAGGGAAAAAAGATTTTCAAAACAGACCAATACATTATCTTGAATTATATTTATAAAATATTTAGCTGTCTGCTAGAATGGAAAAAATACAATATTTTGATTAGACGTACTTATAAATCAGTGTTAAAACATTTACTGAAGCTTGTGGTAAATGTTATTTATAGCAAAACTGAGGAAACAATTGTTGCTATATTAATTTTTTTCATTAATGGTGAAATGCTCCAAAATCATATTTAAATCAGAAATGCATATATTTCCTAGGCATATATATGTAAATAGCGTTCCAAATCTAGGCGATATCCTTGTGTTTGGGTTTGGACTTTTAAAAATTTACTTATTTTCTTTCTAGAATTTATTTATTTTGGGATGCAGCTTTGAAAATGCAGCAACATTTTAAGGCTGCTACCTGGTTGTATGTTGGCAGTCTGGCATTTCAATCAGTGTTCTTTTAATTAGATTAGCAGATTATTATTGTACCTAATTAGAGTTTAAAATAAATTTATAAAGTAAAATTTAAGGAGCTAGGCAAGAAGTTCAGTTAGAATCCATATATTTACTTTTGAAAAAGACTTTAAAACACTGCAAGCATTTTCATTCATCCATGCATACGTGCTTCCTAAACATATATAGACGTTTCCATAATGCAACATGGTCATTTCCTTTTAAATTTGAAACTGTTATTCCATCACTGGAACTACTCCTTTGAAATTTAACTTTTAAATTAACTATAAAAGCTCATAAAAGAAAGCATCGTGTCTGCACCTAGTCAACATCATGGATTTTCCCCAAATGAGTCCCTTAAATAATACCTTTTTATAATGTTGATACAGCAGAATACTATGCAAATATATGTGATATAAATTATACACGTAATGAATATTTGGTGCAACATGTTTTTTAATATACTTTGTGCATATGAGGTACTGCAATATAGGCCATTATAATGCCTGAGTGTCTGAGAAGTTTATGAAAGTTTTTCATATTACTATTACTATATACTACATAGTTTGATTGCAAAACTGCGAGATGCTTAACCTCTGCATTCAATTTTGCTGAAAAGAAATAAAAACCAGAACACATAAAATAAAAGCTGTTTATCTACAAAAGTGTTTTCACTGGCAAAAATCCCCCAAACCTTTTCATTCAGTAATCATTGTCTTACATCTCTCTTAGTGAAATAATCTGTATAATAAAAAATTTATTTGTGACCAACAGAAAACCTATTCTGTAATTAAATATCAAACAACTTTATATGTGATATTTTGGTTTCCAAAAAAATTTATGAAATATCACAGAGATCAAGTGTTTGCTTTCAAATAACTATGACCTGTTTTGAATACTCATAACCTGTTTACTTTTAAACTAACTATACAATGCCTGTTTTGTATTAACATCCGAATCATTACTAACCTACATATTTGCTGCACACTCTTAAACTATTTGGTAAAGCAAGTATTAAGTTCTAACTGACTCTGTAATGAGAAAACAGTATTTTGAGTACTAGGGAACACTTAGGGAAAAAAAAATCCTGACTGAGATATAGCATTTATAAAGCTATGGATAATTATTTTCAAAACAGTGATTAATAAGCATCCATTTTCATGTCATCATTGGTAATAGATGCAATCTTACTCAGGCACCCCGCCATTCTGTTTAATACAAGTGTATCTTAGTGTAAAAAGGAGCTTGTCATACTTATCTCTAATGGTGAATGATTTCTTTCCCTTTTCCTGAAGACACTTTGCACCCAATATTCTCAAATCCTATAATGCTACAGGCTGACACATAAGCTAACAACAATGTAGGTAGAAGGCTACATTTATGTGTAGGTGTATGCTCTCCAGAAGATATGTAGAAGGTAACTGGATGGTTTTTGCTTGTAAATCAGACAAAATACACATATGAAGAGATCTTGTTATGGGAACAGAGGCAAAATTTTTACATTTCAGTAAAAAATCATGATCTGAGAGAACGACATAGTGCAAAGAAACACTGCATTGTCAGAAAGTGCGTGTGGGGGGAATTAAGCATTGTTTTATTATTACTTGTTGCTGCTGGAATTCTTCAAAATGCATAGAAGAAAGGATCTGTCATTATACCACTGTTGTAGTGCATACCTGCAACTTCTGCTGGTTTTCACATGTTTCTGTACTTTCTACGTTTAATTCTGTTTTCAAGCAACTGTACTGCATAAACTGGACAATTTATCCCGATTCATGGTTTAGGAGGAGCAGCTGATTAATCCCATGTCAACAGTCTTGACACTATGCAGAAAACAGAAACATAGAAGACCTGCTTAACAATATATCAAGTGTGCAGTTGCTTATACTCTCTGGTTTGTAAAATCTATAAATCACCCAGAAATTCAGAGTAAGTTAGGACAGTATAGTTCAGCCATTACTGCTTTTATCCTCTTTTTCTTCTTACACAGGAAATGTGATTTTTTTCTTTTAAATGATTTTGTGTAAAACAACCAGCATGCCATCACATTTTTTCTGTATGCTATCAGCATATAAAAAAATCTCATTTGTATTTGTTGGTTTAGGCTCATATTTTAATGAACAGGGAGATCTCCACAGCAGAGTCGTCCTATAAAGGGGAGACACCACAATTCCTTTCATAAAATGCTTAAACGTCACAGCTCAGCACTGCAAGTACTGACTCATGTGAGTAGGCTTTACTCTTATGAGATGATCTATTAGCTTAATTCAGACAATTTACCCTAATGAGAGCTTGCAGAATTGGGTCCTTCCAGCAAGATTACTTTTGGTTTTGGTTTTTTGTTTGTTTTTTATTTAGGGTGCAATGTTTATAGGATATTCTTTTCATTGTTTAATATTCTAAAGGATTCCAATTCTGCCATAATGTGTAAAAAAATTGTTCTCACTTAAGTATAAACATAGAGTATCTGGTTTGCATTATTCTGCTTGAAATTGCTAGTTAAACTGAATGAAATAAAACATACATAACAGTCTTTTAAAATGTGATCATGGGAAAGAGAGAACGCATGCATTTTTATTTCCAGTAGTGAATCACAGTGACTCACCCAAGCTAGTCTGGAAATACTAATGAAATTTTAAATTTTAAGGTGTGGATTTCCATATGGCAGCTCCAGAAAAGAATGTGTCCTTTATTATTGTAAGGCATACACTCCTAAGTAAAACAAAGCAAAACAGCCAAAAATGTACATAACATAACCAAATAAAGCCAAAATCTGTGAAAATCTCCTCATGTAAACTGCATAATAGCACTTCAAATGGCCCCTTTCTGTCATCCACTGTAACCATCACATTCCCATTTCTGCTGCAGTCAGGTGAACTGTCAAAGAGCTATTACGGTTGGCTGCATAGAATTCTGAGGAAAGACAAATCTGTGCAATTTTCTCCTTGGAGAAAAAATGGTTTTTGGTGCTTTTAGGTTTTCCTAAACTATTTTGGTAAAGAAAAATATTAATTAGTTTTTAAATATTTTCTTTATTTTTTATATGTATATGATAATACTAGGGGCTTTATCTGGGCTGAAACCTTTACTATGAATGTGTAGCTCTCTGATGGATGCACATTAGCATTCCAGTATGTGGGTAAGATTTATATATTTTTTTTCTTTTTCTGATACATAATATAGCTTCAAGTAGATGCTTAAGATGGTATGATGGCATGTTATATTTTAGTGTGAGTTTTGCACTATTAAAAGAACGAGTACACACTGAGTGGAACAACGAAATATATACACAAATGCAAAAATCATCCAATCTGTTATTCAAAACTAGTAACAACCCTACAATATTAGATGCATTTAGTTTTTCATGCCTGTTTAAAATACTGCATGCTCAGAAGTGAATACATTATTGTGCTGTGTAATACCGCATCTTCTGATAAGCCTTATCTCATAAATAAAAAAGACGTATAAATGACGTGCTTCTGAAAGGTTTTTCTTCAGAGGCAAGTATTTTGTCCAATCTGCTGAGGTATGTTGCATAAACAAAATGGGAGTTTGATTATGTCTTTCGTATAGTTAATAAACACGTGGTTGTCAGAAACCACAATGAGGTTTCTTGCTGGTTGTTTTCATCTCCTAGAAAAAATTAAGGTGTTTCAGAACTGACCTTTGCTCTGTTGAGTCATCTCCCTTTTTTCAGTTCAATTTGCCTTACTGATCAGTAGTATAAGCCAGAATTTTTATATCCTTAGAAAGAAGGTAAAAGAGAACTTGTTCCTTCAATTATTTAAGTTGGAATTTTTGTTTCTTATGTACATGATTTTGTTAAAATTTGAGACTTTTCAAATTGAAAAAGACAGCTCTGGATTTTGATTATAACTCTTTTGCTTCACCACTGAATTTCCTCACAGCAGTTGCCTGGTTTGCTGCTTTTCTATGTAGGAGTTGTTAAATAAGACATTCTTTATATTTAATTCAGTACTATATTAGAGTAGAAATCGAGTTGCATTCACTGTTTTTACTCTTATAAGAAATAGGATTTTAATTTGGTATATCTTTCCAGAAATAGCTTTGTTTACTGTATTCCACATATGTATAACTGCACCTTCCTGAAGAGTGTAAAGGGTGTAGTCCCACAAACAAGTTTAACACACAGAAGGAATGGTGCCCGCCCCAGAGTGTTTACATTTATGGTAGAAACTTACATATTGAAGCACTGTCATTCCTGAAAAATAAACCAACATGGTGCAGATAAGTCAGAGACAACCAAGCCCTTAGCCTCAGAGCTCGCTTCTGCTGTTTTCAACAGACAATGTTACAGGAGAAGAGCTTTTCTGTGTGCTAATCTGATGATTCTTCCTGCTTTTTTTTTTCCCACTACACCCCCTATTTGGTTTTTTGTTTGTTTGTTTGTTGGGTTTTTTGTTGTTTTTTTTTTTTTACAGTTAGTACTGTTTGGAAGTGTTGTTTGCGAGCTTACTTGCTTCTGCATTTTGTTTATAAGCAGAATATCATTCATTTCTGCATATCCGCTAGACTGGACAAATCAAGGTGACAATCCATGGTTAACTCTGTCAGGCCCTTTGTCCTGCTGCTTCTGTGGATTGAAATACAATGGAAACAAAGTGGAATACATAACAGTCCAGCTGCCTTGTGACACGGCGGCCCCGTGTTACAGTGCCTTAGCCCCTGTTTGCTTATCGATAGCCAGTTCATGAGATGACAATGCAAAGCCTGTGAAAGCTCTCCTGCAAAATAAAAAAATCATGTGAAGAAGGGGAAAAAAAAAATCAGACTTGCCTTGAAAAACAGAAACTCATTAAATGCTCTGTTCCTGGTACAGTTACTACATTCAGATGTAGGGCCTGTCTTTTTAACCATGGCATGCTTCTAAGGGATGCAGGTAGGCTCGTGCATTTAAATCTATCATATGGTGTCTGCTTACAGGGCTCTGCATTGATGTTACTTTTAAGGAAGCTTATATTTCATTTAAGCATGCAATTAATCATCTCTACAGTGTTGATATGACTGGCATCAGCAGTGTTATTTAATTAAATTTGAAATTATTGTACAGTAAATACAGGCTTCCAACTAGCCAGTCCAAATTAAATGCTGAGGTCTATTTCTTACCCATGGTGTTTCCAATTTAAATGCTCATCTGAAAGGTTACACTTCACAGGTTGAAATCATTTTTATGTTCTAACTGTTGCTAAACCCAAAGATCAACTGTACGTGAGTCTTTTGCATCTATTAGCTGTAGGAATGTGTACACATTACCTATATTTCTCACATTCCATTTCATATTAGTGATTTTATGACTGATGCTCCTTAAACACCATTTTTCTTCCGATACTTTGTCTTTTCTGTCATGTCAGCCCAGAGCTGCTTTTGTCAAAAAAAAAAAAAAAAAAAGAAAGAAAAAAAAAAAAAGAAAAAAAAAAGTCTTTCCTCCATTTTGTTTCAGCCTGGTAATCAAGCAATTAGCCCACAAAATGGAGGTATGCCGCTTTTCATCCTGCATCTTACTTCGGGTGGGCTTTACCTGCATGCAAGCAGCAGGCAGAGCACTTTGCTGCTGAGCCTGTGAAATCAGCCCCTGAAGAGCGTTCACACGATGGCCCATAAGTGGCCAACGCTTAGGGGGCCTCTGGGAGGAGGGAGACCTTCCCGGTGGGATCACCAGAGAATTACGTATGGCACGTGCGCTACCTGCAAATTCTGCACCATGTACATGAGAAAGCATGTGGCTGCGCTCCTTCTCCAGCTGTACTCGCTCCCTAATTTTATAGAAACCTGAAAACATGTGGTGATCCAAACTTTAAATGGTGGGAACATCGCTGATTTTCACCTCATCTTTTCTTTCAAAAAGGAAAGAAAAGGGAAAGAAGAATCAACCAAACCAAACCAACAACACCATTTGTTTTATGTTACAGCTTTCCACAGACAATTCACAACATGTCTAGCAAGGAATCAGACCAGAAATACTGTCTCACTCCTATCATATATATAATACAGCTTTTGAACACTGGAAAATCTGTCATCCGTTAAGTGCAGCTCAGGTCTTCTGTGTGAAAAGCACAAGCCTTTTTTTTTTTTTTTTTTAATGCAGTGCTGCCGTGTCTGCACTTTTTTGAAATTGCATATTTATCAGGTTATGAATTATTTATGAGTGGCGAAGGGAGGGGGGGGGGCTGGAAGGGGAAAGAAGAGTGAGAAAACATATGCTTGGGCAGAGGAATACCTTAAATGAATCCACTACCAAGTCGTTTGAAGGATTACTTGTAATTACTTTTTCATTTTGTTTTGTTTCTCTCATGTTTCTCTTGGTCATCTGCTATTGTGTTGTCGATTGGGTTTGTTTGGTTTTTAGGAAGCATGAAGGGATTGGGGGTAGTGTTTGCTATGAGTTGGATTTTGCCGTGCAAATGAATTGAGCATTTCTTTGACTTCTAAAGTACAGGGTGTTTAATAAATATTAATCCTTCAACTGTCAGACTTAATTATTGTCAAAAAGAGGCTGACAGATTGAGTATTAATGACGTGTTTTATAAATTAGAAATGAAATATCAGTGGAACGTCCAAAGCAGGGATCAAGAACGGACCAGATTTGTATCTTAGACCAGTTGAACATCCCATCTATGTCAGACTTATGCAGAAAACAAAAACAACCCTCCCTCCGTCCTGCAAACACACTTTCTGCTGTTCATGCACCAGGATCTGACATCTAGATCCCTTCTGCTTTAGGATCTGCATGTACCGAAATAGCAAATTTGTCTCAGACACCAGATAATTTGATTAGACAAAGGCAGATCCGTATCCTTTTTTTACAGTTTTGTTAGAGGAAAACTGGGGGAGGTGGAGTAATTTCTGTTCAAACATCTCAATGTCGTATTTTCCCACTATGAAAAATGCGATATCACAGAAAGCTGAAGACATGGCATTATAATGGTAAATTGTAAAAATGGTAGCTGCCTCTTCAAAAACATACAGAATTTCCAATATAAATTATGTATTAAAGGAAATATGTTTGCATAAACCAAGTAGCAGTAAGTTAATATAAGTTGACAGGATTTTTAGGGGAGGCTAATATATGTCAAAAAATATCATGTATAGTCTTTAATCAAACTCATGATCCTCAGTTGAATTATTGCTTGTAAAGCTGATTTTACTGTATTTTCTAATTCTCTTTCTCTTTCTCCCCCTCTTTTTTTCTTTTGTGATTATTAAGGGAAAATTAAGTTTAATTTGTGTAAGACCAGGTTTGTTTTGGGGGTGGCTGAATCAAGCAGTCATTTGGGGTGCCGTTCTTTCTCTTGGCACAGAAGTATACAATATGAAACTGGGCTACCAGAGTGTATAAAAATGTTTAGCTTAATCACTCCCTAATGACAGCGACTTATGTCCTTAGTGCAGTCGATTTGTTTCCTGGGTTTTAAAAGTAGATTATTTCCATGGTGCAGGCTTAGTGTAAGCTGTTGAGAAACCACAAGCACTGCACTTCAGCCTGAGTTTGGGACGTTCGCCAAGGGTAATCTGATTAAAAGGGCATTTTTTACAACATTGTGGTGCTTTGAAAATTCTGTGCAGCCAGATAGAGTAGGGCCAAAAAAAAATTGCTTTTTCAAAGCTAACGGTTTTGCCTGAGCTGAATTAAAAGCGTGATAAGCAGCATCACTGGAATGATTCTCTTCGACAGTCTTGCAACTGGATAAACAAAGCATCCTTAGTAACACATCTGTTACAGACCCACAAGCAAATTCATGATCTATTTAATGCACGGTTTTTGCTTTTTTGTTCTTCCTTTAATGACATTTGCTTGCTGCATAGGTGTGTGGTTCTGAGGCCTTGCTTTATCTAAAAGAACTAAAATGTTTCCGTTTTTCTACAGCAGCTTTGCTCTTCCATTACGTGACATTTAGAAATGTTCTGCTATGAAAGTGGTTATTTGTGATGTGCTCTAAGAACCAGTGTTGGGTACCATCTTCCTGAGAAGTTTAGTAGATGTATGTTGTTAAAAGATAATTATCCTACCTCGAATCTTGGATTTCTTATAAGAGTTGGAATGTAATACTAATTAAATATGTCATGTTTGCACACATCAGAACATATTCAAAGGAACTGTTCTTGGATCATTTGCCTTAT